GGAAATTAATGTCCTATTTCTGCCCAGGTCAGGAGCGCCCTGCCACAGGCTGCGCAGGCGGCTCTGCACAAGATCAAGCCAGGCGACTGGGTCCTGGTGAAGGAAACGAGACGAAAACATTGGCGGTCCAAGCGCTGGCTGGGCCCATTCCTCGTCCTCCTGGTGACGGACACTGCCGTTAAGATCGCGGAGAGGACAACTTGGATCCACGCCAACCACTGTCGTGCGGTGCTGCCACTGAGGGCCATAGACGAGGACACCGAGCGTGGGGACGGACCAGGCCCATCCGCGGCTCCCTACGCTGAAGAGGTCGGCCGGCGTGCGACCACCGTCGGTGAAGCAGGCCAACAACAACACCCAGAGAATCCCAGCGTTCCCGAGGCGACCCCCCTTTGCCCAACTCCCCAGCCCCCGGACCCCAAGGCCACACTCCAAACCCCGAGCACTCTGCCCAACCGAGTGCTGAGGCCAAGGCTTCAACGCGATTAGAGTCTTGCCGCTCCAAGACCAAACATCGCCATGACCACTAACGCTCCACACACGCTCAGAGGGAGCGGTGCCACTGACTGCAAGACGGCACTACTCGTGAGCATTCCCGCGAAAAAGACTACCGAATGTAGTCCGGCTAAGACCGGCATGGGCCCTTGGACTATTATGCTGGCCACGCTGACAGTACTTTCCGTGCTGACCGTGTTTATTATGTTAGTATTGTCTTCTTCTGAAACTCAAAACCCTGTGATTCACGCCATGACACGCATTAAACGCAGCCTTGCTTCCGACGACACTGCTTGGCTGGAGGCCTTGAGTAAATCCTACAAACACTCTACAGTTTATTCACTCAACCTTTGGTATCAGTATGCAAAATACGTCGCAGATAGCCACAATAGATCCAATTGCTACGTATGCACGATCATTGGGTCGTCCTGCTGTACATATATTCCGGCTAATGATGAGGACGGAGGTCTTATCCAACAGGGCATAGCCAATCTGACTAGACTCCGGGACGCCATGCAAGCGGACAATGTCACGGACACTCCTCACGGTCTGGACTGGCTCCTGTCCTCCTGGCGGAGTGTGCTCATTAATCTTGGTTTAGCCCTATTGACTGTTATGATTTTATTTTCATGTGTATTACCTATGGTGTTTCGGGCCGTTGGTAAAATGATATCCACTCACTTTGTGTCCATTCAATACAAAGACCCTGAGGCGGACCTGGCCGCTGTCCCACTGAACCCCGATCCTGATTATATCAGCGATTCGGACGACGACTTTGTCTAACGTTTTTCTTTCTTGTTTACCTTGTTTTTATTTTTCCACTTGTTCCGCCTACAATTTAGGGGGAGGGTATCACAGTGAAGAGCTCTGACCACACCCTCGTAATACAAGAGGCTTGGGTGACGGCAGCGTAGCCTGTCCATCAACAACTCTTGTTTTGCTCAGGGACCAAGGTCAAAACTCACCCACCTGAATGTGATTTCTGTAAAACTGGGGTTTCTACATTATCACGGGAGAGGAGTGTTATGGCAAAGTTGGTTAGCCTCAAGGACGCCAACTCACCCCCCGCTGTTCTATTCAATTAACCTGCAGGAAGGAACCGGTCTCCCCCCCGCACCGACAGACATGACGCAAATTACTATCTCACCTTTGCCCCTTTTGCATTTTGCATCTCTATCGGTCCGTATGTCTGCATTTCTATTGACCTTTTACATTCTGCATGTCTATTGTCCCTTCTGTTTGCATCTCCATGGCACAAAGATTGTCTTTCACCAGGCAAGGCGCCTCGCCATCTGGATGCCCGTCTCAAACTGTGACCCCTCCCACCTTTTGTGGGCGTGACTGTCTTTCATGTGTTGTCTATGTAAACGGGGACCTGGGACTGGCCCCGCCAGAACTGATGTACGCTATTTTGTGTATGTGAGTTCTCCGTACGTGTGTTATAATAAACTTACGCTCCTGATTAAGACAAATACCTTTCCAGCTTTTTCCTTACTGTGGATAGAAACTCCCACGACAAATCCCACGGATGAAGCGCAAGCTCTGATTTAAAGTTTGTGTGAGTGTGTATTGTGTGCCTCTGTGTTAATCTCTTTATTATCCACACAGAAAACCGCCTGGATACATTTTTAATGTTCTGCTAGATTCAGAGATCGGAGGCGTGAGGAGGGGAGGGGGGAGAGGGGCGCGGGTGGCAACAATAAAACTTCTTGGGCTCCAAATCCGCAGTGTGTCATTTAAGAAGCAATGATGTCAACAGTGAGAAGCATTGCCGTTTAGCTTGGTTTTACAACGCAACAGGCCTTTGGGTGGAGTAAAGAGGAGCCATAAAAACACTATCTGCATGTTGGCATGGCTTCATTTACATTAGATACTGCTTACATACAGTAAGTGGTACATACAGTGAGAATGGTTTTGACTCTCAATGGCCCTCATTTATGAAGATTGCGCACAAAAAGGTGTAAATTTTGGGTGTAGAGCCCAGATACGCAAGATCTGACGTGGCATTTATGAACGTGTGAGATACGCACAGATCTGAGCGTACGTACCTGCTGTCATTTAATAAATGCCGCGCTCAAAACCAGCGTATTTATGAAAGTCACGCCTATAAATATTCAAAAACTGCCTGTTCCACGCCCTGTTTTTGCAACAGGTCAGCAGGAACTCTGCTAAGAAGCCGCAAAAAGCACGCACTTTTGAGTTTATGCACGTTTAAAAAATATATATATATACGCTATATACACTTTTTTCCCTAGTGTCTAGACCCACTGCAGCACTCATCTCTCCTGAAATTTCAACGTAAATAAAATAATAAATGACCTGAATGAATGAATGAACTATACTGCTGGTGCGCGTCGCATTACAAACATGCGTTTCCCACCACAACGATGTGTTTTTATGCTAAAGATAATTAATAAATCAGTAAAATAAGTTTTCAATATGAACGCCTCTGATTGGTCAGAACATTGATGACGTAATTGTAGGGGTCGAAGAACTCGCTTTAGTGTTTTACAACTGTGCTTCTGCTGCAACACAAATAAGACTAGAGAAAAAAAGCACAAGAATTTCCTTAAAATGGTTGCATTTTGCATGCCCCCGGGATGCAGCAATGAAAGTTACCGAAAGAAGAGTGTAAACCGCAGTCCCTATGATCTTTGACTTATACAGAGAAGGCGACGGTCCAAACAAACTGAGAGAAGACACCAGCGCGAGTTCCATAATGCCACCCGAAATTACACTAGCTCCTCCAACTAAAACCAGTTTTACGAGTTCCAACCCGTATTCAGCAGAAAACACAACAACTGTCATTGAACCATGAATCCATGTTTCACTCTCTAACTATGTTTAGTAAGAGATATAATGAAAAAATAATCCATGTTGTCAAACCACCTCCAGACTTTTCGGTTATGTCCACTTTTACGGCTGGGATCTTTCATTTCACGGTAGTCACTTTTACGCTTCTTAACTTTTATCTGCACTGCGATGTCCGTGATATCCATTCCTTCGTCCCTAGCGCTACCTTCGCTAACACTTATTTACACTCACTCGGGTGCACCATCAAGCTCAAACTGACCGCATCCGCAAACCGGATCGAGACAGGTCGGACCCGGTCGGACCATAGATCCATGACTCCAGCCCGTGGAAACGGCCCTAATGTCCGCAAATGTCCATTTCTTGCAGATTGCTCCTCATCTGAACCGAGTCAGAGTCCTCAAAATCAGAATTACTGTCATAACAAGTGCGCAAGGGCTCCATAATAAAAAACCCCTGACTTGTATTGTCCATCACTGAAAAACAAATATCTATTTAAAACATCCGTATAAAACGTTATGGCTTACAAAGGCACATCAACAAAGCCCAAAGACCCCTACGTGTACATCACGTAGGTCTTTTTTTCCGCGAATTTCTTTTTGCATGATAATTATTGATAGAAACCGCTAAGGGTGAAACTATCTTTCAAAATGAGTTTTATTTAACACAAAAAAAGACCACAATATACCAACAAAATGAAAATAGGTCCCTTTTAAAATAAAAAAGAAATACTGAAGTAGGAGGACAAATTGATGCCATCAGCACAGAGTGAGTCATAGGAGAGAGGTGTATGGTCGGAGAGTGTCTGGCGAGTGGCTTGTCTATACATATATAGATCTATCCATCTATCTACTCTATATGTATTTTATTGTTCTTCTGGCCATTGGTTGTTTATTTTTTTCGTCATTTTGTTCCAAACCGTCTCATCTCATCTTGTTTATTGGGTATCTTCCGAACCGTACGTGAATGTCAAGTTGTGTTTTTTTTACACCTTAAGTGATTGATCTGTGGGAAGCAAGGTTGCACAGAAAGTGTCATGGAGTCAGGAGCACCTAAGTGTTAAAAAAAAAAAACAATGCAAAACCACCAAATTTTGTTTTCTTACGGGATACAGCCTTCAGGCTCTTATAAGTTAGAACCACAACTGACATAAATACAATGAATGTATAGTCAAATACCAAAACATATAACAAACTACCGCAGAGCAAGCCCCTGGACAACAAGGGATAGAGCCATCATTGAAGCTGTCCTCCAGGGCCCCCACAAAACACACAAACACAACTGGGAGATCTGCCATTGGGCTTTTTAATGGAAATCTGAAAAGGAGGTATGCAAATGCCCGAGCGCCTCTGCTATCCCCGGGCGCTGGGGTGAGCAGGTGTAGGCGGGAGAACGAGGCCCGCCGGGGATCAGGGTATACGATAGGAGAAGAAGCTAATGAAGTGGCAATGCTATCAGGCCACAGTGGATGTCCTAACGCTGGTGGATCGGAGAAACAAATGAGGTGTTTGGGAGCGCAGGGACAGAGCCTGATATGGCAGTTTCATGCATCCAGGGGAATTTGTGATGGATCTCTATTTTTTCTTCTTTTTTTAATAATTATGTGAGGACATGATGCTGCAACGTTTTGTTTTTCCGATTTGGGCCGCTGTCATAAAGGGCGAAGAAGTGTTGGCAGCAATTTTGACGGTTGTTTACGGCGAGCTCAGTTCTGTCGCCCACCACGTCGGCGGGCCATGGACTGTGGGGGAGGGGACTTGTCGAGAGAGTGCCTCGTAGAGGAGCAGAGGCCTGAAGTACAGCTTTGAAGTAGTGGGAGAAAGAACAAAGGCAGACAAGACACTGGAGGTATGAACGTAAGGGCATGCAGTACACTCGCTCACAACATAATCAAGTTGAGATGAAGTTTAAGAAGCGTGGTAAAATCTATTCACAAAATCACTGCAGATACAACTTTCAGAATAACTCAATCCAAGTAAATTTAAAACAATGTCTTTAATATAAACGCTTCTTTTTGTCTCCATCTTCCCTTTGTCAACACCAGGCTGTACAGTGGGGAGCTTGTCATGTGGGTATTCAATTGTTCCAATTTTATGCAAGAGACAACGCAGCAAAGAGAGTTCATTTTCTGCTTAATCAAAAAAATTGAGAAGTCTTTGAGCAAACCCGAGGGACCAGGCGTGCAGACAACAGAACTTGCAGAACTATGTATGTCGGGACTCAGGCAAAATGTCAGAGAGGGAATTACAATTGTTTAGTGCTGGGATTCTTAAGGACACAGCAGCGTATAAGCATAATTTTGAAGAGTGAGAAAAGAAGACTATCTGAAAATGTTTTATTAAGATTGATCTATACATGGCAGGTGGCTCCAGACCTCTGTATACTGAATGGTGTAAAGCTGTATGATCTCAGTGGTTCTCAAAGTGTGGTACGCTAGGCGTACCACTAGGGGCTCCCTCTAGTGGTACGCCAAAGATTCATTGTAATGCAAAAATAAAAAATTTACCAGGAAAGTCCTATTGAGATTAAGAACCTCTTTTTCAAGGGAGTTCTGGACAAAAATGACATACAATTAAAGATTATACAACAGTTACATACAGATTATAAAACAGTCACATACAATTTCATAAAATTACGGATTATAAAAACAGTTACATTTCAATGAGGATGTCTCAAGTTCTCTCAATCTGGATCTAAAAGCATTCAATGAAATTAGTTCAGACAATTTCCAGTCTTTCCATGTAGAAGGAGCAGAAAATACAAAAGCTTTTTTTCCCAGTTCTGTGCAAACGGAACAGACAGCAACAAAAGATAATTTGATCCAAACCATACAGTATGAACCAACATCTCTGTGTGAGTAAATGGCAGATGTAAGAGGGCAGCAGACCAAGCCTTATAAACAAAAGTGCAGTGTCCAAACCTTCTGTGGAGAAAGACATCCCACTCCATAAAATCATTCACAGGTGAGTCAAGGCTTTGCAGTTTGTAATGAATTGAACATTTTAATTGAATCATTATTTAAGTACAGTTGTTTTGTTTTTTTCCCCAATATTTAACTCTTACTGTTGAAACTGTTTAAAATGTTACAATGGCTGACAAAATTAAATGTAATTCTTTGGGAATGAAACCTCTGCCTTGTTTTTCATGAATACTTAGGCTTACACGACGCTACTGCGTGGTGTTGGTTATTTGTGGTGGTACTTTGAGAGGAAGTATTTTCTGAGGTGATACTTGGAGTAAAAAGTTTGAGAACCACTGCCCTACCTAATTTTCAAAACAACAATCAAGATTAACCTTGCTCACTAAACAGTCTGTCTTTTCCCTTGTTTTCAGATGCATATATATTAGGGCTCTGTCGAATCAGCATCAGTTTTTTTTTCAGACAGAAAAGTAAAAAACGAGAACCAACCTTGCACTGCCAATGAGCATTAGGCTCAAAACGTGAAATAGTGACTCTCTCTTTGTATAAGTATGCAAAGATAAAACATGTATTATGAAGGCAGCTGGATCTGGTCTGATTGGTTCACAATTGTTCTTTCAATGGGAAACACACAAAATCGATTTAAAATTTTCTGACAGCAAACAGTCTGCACCTTATGCACAGCAGTACTTTTATTAAGTGCCTAGAACACGTCCTAACTAAACCGGTGCATTCCTTAAACCTGAGCATTCACACCTTCAAGTAATGGCCATTGCTATGGCGACCAGGTGACCCATGCTCGCAATTAGGAGTCTAACAGGCTGTGTGCCTGTGAGTGAGCACAGGTGCAGCTCATGCATTATGTAAAAGGCAGTTCCTGAGAAAGTGTGGCCCAGCCCTTGCCATGGCCTCCGCACTCCTTTAATCTGATACATTTTCATCATCAGCCCAGTGTCGATCCAAACAAAACACCCACACCCTAAGGAAACCCACACACAAGTACAGCTGTGCTGCACTGCAATGCCAAGAGGAATGGCTGGAATACATAGATGTGGACAGAACTGAAGAGAGACAAACTTCATCACATACTCCTAAAAGAAACATAGCCTTTAGTCTCTGTACTTCCATGTTATAATCACGGTAGTTTAATTTAAGATGAAAATATAGTGTGCGTGTGTGTATGTATGGGTTTTGAAGTGAAGTAATTCATTGGAACCTTGTTTAGATAAGAAGAACTTCATTGGCACATAGCAGTAGACAGGACTGCACAGCTACACTCTGGCAAAGGTACGTTTCATCCATTAAATCAACACAAATTAAAGAGCAGAATTCAAGAGCAGCAGCAGAACGAGAAATGCAGTTACCAGACAGTTTGTTCTGATGGAGGAACTCCATCTGTAGCTTCTGCCCTGCGCGCTGGGCCAGTAGGTACGGTGTGGAGTGGGAGGGGTCTCCAGTGGCACACATGACGTCTGCTCCAGTAAAAACCAGACTCATGGTGTGCAGGACATCCGGAGACACCACAGCAGCACACAGAGCCTACAGAAATACAAACATTTAAGAAGAACCCCTTTCAAAAGCTCTTGGTATGAATATCAAGAGCTGAGCATACTATTTACATCATATACTAAACTGATGCATGCATTTATTTTGACGTTTGTGATCTTGTGATTTGAGTAATGCATCAAGCAGCCTTCATTTTTAAGGTAAGAAGTATATATATAGGCACCTTCTATATCAAAATGTGTTATTTGTGAAGCCTCTATATAAGAAAATAAATTTTATTCAATGTTCTCAGTACTTTCTAGACCATATCAAGTAAAAACTGCCATTTACCACGATAAATCAAGTCATAAATGTGGAGTTTGCATTGAGTGTTTTTCCATGGCAGAACAAAAGCTCCTCTCTTGTGGCCCATGGTGCTGCTTAAGGCACTTGGTCTCAGCAATCGCTCATAAAGACTGCTCCAAGAGGTCTCGAGGGAAAGCTGCATTAAATTTTGTTTCCATAAATACATGTTGTTGAAGATGAGATGCTCCTTTAATGGCGGCAAAACACCTCGGCTCATATTGAAAGCGTCTCGCCAGGCAGACGTGCTTTGTTAAAACTATTCACCTGTTTCACCTTGTAAGCACACAGAGAAAAAGAGATAAAAAGAGCTAAAAAGAACAGAGCTTGGCGGAGGAAAAGATTCTCTGCTTATGTCCGCCTCCTCCTATCAGTCCAGTCAACGATGTGACATTGTGCACCATGACCCACGGTAAAGTGGATCAACTGGAGTCGTGTGCAAATAGCGAAATTTTGTCAAAGGAACCCGGTCTTTCATCTCACGTGGGCCACGTTAGTAAGCGGCATCGATTGCACACAAAACGAGCCCAATCCATCTCAAAGTGAAGTGTCTACCCAACAAACAAACTAAAAATGTTTGTCGATAAGCCATCCCACACACACACACACACACACACACACACACGAAAGAAGACATATACTGATAACAGCTTCCCACATCATTCTCAGAAGTGTTAATAACAGTATTTTAAAACAGTTCTTTCTATGTAGAGATCTCAGTTTTACAAAACTTGTAAAATGAATAGGTACCCAAAAAAAATCTATATGAAACATTAAAAAGTTTAACGTTGTTTGAACACCGAGCAACGTGTCAAGTGGCATCACTTCGGGCTAATATAGCAGTAATTTACCTGTAGGTCAGGTGAACAAGGTTATAAAATTCCACTCAAGTCGCACAAAGAAAAATACTTTGTGTAATGACAGCAAAAAAAGCAACTCAACTCAAAATGATCTTTAATGTAATCCTTTTTTTGCTTAAAGGAGGCTTTCACTGCCAAACTACAAACTGTTTGTGAAAGAGTCCAGTGTCCCTTCGGCCTCCCTCCTCCTGTCACCAAGTCACCCTGCTGGGTGTGGGTGACAGCGGCTTTGGAGAAAACAGGTTTTTTCCATCCATCCATCTTCTTCCCCTTAATCCATTTCTGGGTCGGGGGTATGACAGTCAGAGCTGCACCCAATACACATAGCACCAGCCCCTCACTGATCCTCCTGCAGGTGGTGAGTCCACAGGAGCCTTGATTATTCAGCGGTGGCTTCAGGCGAATTGGGGTTGAGTGTCTTGCCCAAGGACACAACGACAGCAGTCATCAGTGGGAGTCGTGAAGTAGGTCGAACCCACAACCTTCAGGCTCTAAGGCCAATGCTCTACCAACTGAGCTACTGTCGCGCCCAGGTTTCTTCACTTCAGGATTATAGCTACGTCCCGTTAGTTATTTCTGTGATTGTGAAATTAAGACAAGACAGAAAAGTAACTGATCTAATCTAATCTAATCTAGGGTTTTTTTTTCTTTTTTTTTAAGAATCACCACATTTTTGCTTTACAAAATTTCACATGGAGGCAAACAAAAAAGTGCATCTTCTGTAGTCTAAACATGCTGCTGGTTGGAACTAACCAAATGAAGCCATCTTCAAGGCAAATTAAAACTATTTCCACATTTCATTGATAAAATCGGTTGCATTAATTCAATTAAGGACATGTAACCTGCTTGAGCCGAGTTCCTACATCCCTTCTCAGTATTTAGTCCCTCGTTCACCCTCTCTCATTCACAGAGAGGTCAGATTAACCTGGCCTTATTCTGTATCGTCTCTGGAAGTGACCTCCCATGTCATAGCAATTACTATAGCCACTAGAGCCTCGGCATGAGACTGTGTGCACGCGTTTGTGTGTGTCTGTGTGTCTGTGTGCGTGCGCACTTGAGACAAAGGCAGCTTGTGTAATGATATAAGGAGGTCCTCTGACATTCCGTTCTCTAGGTCACCCGGCCTGTGGAGACATCATGGAGGTCGCAGGCATATGAGCTTCTAATGGGGAACATGGGACTGCGGACGGAAGCGGCCTGCGAAGAGGGCGCGCACCAGAAACAGCCCTCGCCCCCTGCGCGTTATATTATCTGCCGTATTGATGCAGTCAGGCATAAATCACTGGTAGTTTTTATTTCATTACTCAACATGACAGTTTAAAGAGATTTACTGGATCTGTTGAGTGAGTTCTCTGACCCCTGGGTTCATAACACCGATTAAAATGACATTGGCGGATTTTCAAAAAAACACATGAATATCAATGAATGAAGAAAGGTCTTTGTAAGAGACAATTCCCAACGGGGGAGGTTTTATATAGCTACTTCAACACTTCATGCATTGGTATATTAATTAATTGTGAAAAGAAACTCAACGGCATGTCAAACCTGATTAAGTTAGCAGGCTTTATGTTCAAATGTTTTGTTTTTTTACTTCAAATAAAAGGAATCAAATGCATGTGTTTGCTAAGAGTGTGGTGTAGCAGTATGACACTACGCCACAATTGATCGCTATCATATCTTTCAAGCCCATACAAGAGGAAAAGGCAGAAAGAGGCAAGAAAAACACTTCGAGAGTGGACACATCTTTCTGTGGTTGACCGAAGCTTTTAAATCGACACCTTCTTTTTTCACACTTGCCTTCTCCCGTCATTGCTCCTGCCCCACTTATAGAACAGCAAAATCACACGTCACCAGTTCACGTATGTCGACACTCGCAGCCTAAGCCTCGGAAAGCCGCAATAAAACCAACCCAGGCATTTTTCTGTGGTGGATCTTAATCCACTTTTCCACTTAGCTCACTATCTCCAACTCACTTTCTATATTCCCCCTCTCCAGCTCTCTTCTCTTTATTCAGGAAAACAATATGAGACCCGTTGATCTGCCTAAACGCTGACACAGGCAGAAACTTTGCTGTTGCTCAAAGCTTTAAACACTGCTCTTTTAGGAGGACCAAAAAGAGGTGTGTTGTAAGTCTCACAGAGCAGCTCCTGTGTCAGTCAGATCGATGAAACGTTCCCTTTGGCAGTTCTTGACTTCCACTGTATTCTGCAAAGGGCCCAGAGGTTAGAACCGCCGGACTGTCCAGGGTTTAGCACATATAGCTGGAGGTTGTCATAAACAGATGGAAATGTAGCCTGGTCGTACCACACCATAGTACAAATTACATTTCGTACTAAGGTCTGGATTTGCTCCGTTGAGCTCCGTTTATAGGTGGGAGCGGTTAACACCTTTTGAAGATTGAAACGATTGGATCTGAGTTTACTGTGACGTATGTAGTGCGCACAAGTCTATCGTTAGCATTTACCATTTAGCCTAGCCATCTCCTTATCCGCTAACCGAGCCCGTGGGGAGTAGCGCCACAATCTTTGCCAGCGATTACATTTGCTAAACATTCCTCTTGCTCCGGTATCAATTTCTTGGTAGAACCAGACCGGATTACTTTACTATCGCATTTTTCGCCATTGCCAAACTACGACCTTCCCGTTCGACACAAACTCTTGACATCACCCACAACTAACTACAACACCCACCTCCCATGCTCGCCGATTTGTAGGTCGAAAATCAACCGATTGTCATCGCTAACATGGGGAGTGGAGTGTACGGATGGCCAGGCTAATGGAAATGGAACAAAAAATAATAATTTGCACAACATTGTCACATCCAGCGGCTACACCACTGCTGCTGCTGCTGTGACCTGAAGTGCCGTTTCTTATTATTACTATTATTAGCTTTTTTGAATTATAAATGTATTTGTTTTGTTCGTGTGGGTGGATGTGTTTTTGCTGCTACTGGACACTTGAATTTCTCCTACAGGTATCAATAAAGTATATCTATCTGTCTATCTATCCATCTGTCTAACACATTTAGCAGCTGAATCTGTTATGAAGGTGCGAGCACATAAACACACAACCATTGGTATAATCCCAACCAACCTGACAGGTTGACCTAGATGCATTGCCGGATGGTTCAAATGCATGCAGGACAAATTTCCCTATGAATGTTACCTTGTTATTGCGAAAAGCTTGAAAAATCAAATCTTAAACAAGCTCCGGGTCTCTAAATCCATAGAGACCCGGAAATTTCCAGGAAATTTCATCCAGATCCTCCCATAACTTTTTTAGTGATGTTTATCACAGACAAACATACAAACACTGGTGATCACTTTATCTCCTGGGTGGAGGCAATTCATTTAAAATTGTGTGGTCATCTTGACTTCATGACCACACTAACTTTCAGATAATGGAATTTTGTAAAGTCATCTTGCATTGCTTTTTGTGCAGTTTTTCTTACTAACAGAACCTTAATAGGAGAAATGCGATACAATTTCAAAACTTTCCTCTTTTATAAATAATTCAACACAGTGCACAAGAGTTTCCCCAACGTTCTTGTGAAGTACAGAATTTTTTTGGTTGAGAACGGCGTCTAAAGATTGAGCAGGTATTGACAAAAGCCAACAAAGTCAGCTCTTATTCTGTTCCAAATCCTCTGTCTAAAGCGCTCTGACCTTTGTGCTGTGGACTTTATTAAATGCGCACCTGGTTAAGCTGCTCGATGGTGTCGTAGTGGTCCAGAAGGCTGCAGTACTTTCTCTCCCTGTACTTCCTGCGGATGAAGGTGGCCCGTAGCTCTGCCGACGCGCCACTGTAGAGCTCCTCTTCAGCCGGTAGGTTAACCGCCCAAAAACTGTTGGCTTTCTGGTTCCCCACTTCAAGGAACAACTGTGGGGCACATGATACAAGTCTGTGCATGTTCTATATAAAGTCAGATTGACGTGTTTTTCAGTTACTATTCTAATTGTGGAGAGAGAAAGACTTAAGACAAGCGCTGGTGCAATCCTTCAACTGTCTGTTAAGGAGGAAATTATGGTGGTGGTTATGTCAAGGGAGAGACTATTTTAAATGTATCCTTATTTGTCGGGTTTAATAAGAGTACAATAAAGTAAAAACATGGATTATTGTCGAAATGCAATAAAGCTAAATTACTGACGTAGTATAAAGGGGAGGTACCTAACTTTCAAAGCAGCTTTTTCAAGCATCAAACCATCCATGCAGCCGGTCAGTTCTAACTTCCACCACTCGCTTTCACATCCATGTATTTCAGCCTTGGTCACAGCTTTAGATCAGACTTTTTGGACATAAAAGTGAAAAAGAGAACCACCTTCACTCAATGAGCTCTCAATGTCAAATGGTGACTCACAGGGCTTTTGCAAAAGAATACATGTTTTCTAATTAGATAAAGCCAGCATGCTGTGGTCTGATTTGTTTTCATAGCATGTTACTTTTACAAATGTTGGGACAAACCAAAAATGTTAGGTACCCCAGGATCACTACTTTTAAGGACTATAGCCCAGTTATCCCGGCTGCTTCTGCTAAACCTGGATACTTTTAAGAACTACGGTAGGGAATTGTATATCACTGCATGCACTGCACAGTATTATAAGTGTTTCCTGCTTAATTGTATTGCATTCTGTGTTTTATTGTGTGTTGACTGGGTTAAAAAAAAAGAAGGGTCCAAACCTCTTTTCAATCCTGTATTAGTGAAAAGATAAGGGAAACTGTGTTAAATAAATCTAACTAAAATGCTCTTATTAGTAAGTACAATACTAAAAGGTATGTTTTATGCACTTTGCAGTCAGGAGAAACGTGATCACCTCCACTAGCTCATTACTCCAGATGCTGCTGTCCAGCTTCATGCTGCGAACTTTGGAAATGCTGGGGCCAAGGGAACGGTGCTGCCCTGAAACACAAGTGAAAGCACGTCTGACACATTTGAAAACAGCCTCAGAGGTTTTACACAAATATGCACAAATTAAGACATACATAATATGCACTGGCATCTCCTTAGTGTACCAGCAAACGCACTCTAAATGCCAATGGTAGAATAAATAATAAAGCAGAAGGCAGTTAGGAGACGGAGAAGCGGAGCATGACTCTCACAACAGACGTATTTAGTCCCTTCAGCTTCCCCTAATTGGAAATGAAAGCACAGAACGAGGCCCATTAATTGCTAATGAATCATGAGTAATTCATTGTGTTTGCTGGTCGGCCTGTTTATTTGGGTGAGAGGGGGCTGCTGGGGTTGCTTATGGTCAGAGACAAGGCAGACATCTATAATACATAACACAGAATCAAGCGTATGTGTGAATGTGAATTTGTCCTGTGTGGATAACGGAAGAGTATAACACCAAAAATTCAGAATTAATGAAGAAATATACATTATTTTTGGACCTTGAAAGAAACAATGACATTTTTCACTTTGTCAATTCATATTTCAGAATGTGAATTGACAAAATATGGCAACATCTGCATAAAGGATAAGCTACTCCCTGTGAGTGGCTCATTTAACAAATAAATGTGTGCATGACAACATTTATTTTTGTTTGTCTGGAGGAAAAAAGAGGTACAGATAAAAAAGACATTTATGAAGGAAATGTAATTATGAGGTTGACTAATGAGACTAATTTGTAGCCCATGCAGACTGTTTGGATTTCATTTAAACTTATTGTGCTCTAAACATTTCTTAACCAGAGTGAAGGCCCACAATATTTTTCTATAATTGTTTCACCATAAACTCAATCACTGCCCTGTTTCATTATAAAACTTTTCTTTTATACTTAAATACTCTTTTTAGTCGTTTTTCATTAGCTTGGTCATGGGGGCATTCCATTTGCCTTTTGTGTAAGTGTTTTTGACATTGTGTGACATCATCACCCAATAGCTCATGTGATGGACAGACAGTTCCTTGAATTATAAAAAAGTGATTTAAGGCAAACATTCATATATATTGATACATGTCTGCTTAGAGCAAGAGAGTATATTCAGTAGTCTGGCTCTATTCCACGGTCACATAACGACATCCCACTTCCTGATGTGATATGCATTGATTATGATCTTAGCAACAACTTCATCTGACCTATATTTTCCTCTTCATGTATGATTCTTGTAATGAGCTTCTTGCTGCTACGCTGTAGGTGCCACTATAAATAGCAGGGATCCCTATTCACCCAGTAGTGATATAATTGTGCATGAAACTAGCATTAAAATGTCAGCCACTGATGGATTATGGGGTGTTTAAATCAGGTTTCTCTAATCCCAAATGTAAAAAGGACAATGGCAAAAAATTCAGCATTGGAACACAGATCCCACAAGGCAAGTTGGTCTGAAGAGGCAGATCCTGTCACTTTTGCCGTGAACAAGTAAAAAATATTTCACTCCTGCTGTTTTTTGCAGCAGTGCTGCCGCCACACTCCATCCATTGGGCCGTAGCGCTCCGCAGGACCATTTTCACTTGTGTAAAGGTAATGAAGCTGAAAACTTGGGGATGTGGATGTGCCACAGACTGTGTGCTGAAAGCTTCACATATAAATAGCCTGTTGTAAATGTCTTCATCTTTTCGGGCAGCAACTAACACCCCAGCAAAAGCCATATAGCCATTGAGGTATCACATAAAAAGGCCCAAAACCTACAAGGAATTCACCACCAATTAAACACCGTCCCATTGACTCCTGTAGCCCTCCACCCAGCCCATGTGACTTGTGAGAAGTATTTGGGAGTTACCATAGCAACAGTGCAGACATTCACAAGTTGGGTTTGAGGGAGTATCGTTGTTATCTGTTTGATTTATAGAAGTTGTCTAGTTTCTAAAATAAAGCAAAGTTAATCCATACAATCAAAACTCATTTCTAGACTCGTCTTCATACTGTACAGTATGTCTCAGTATAATTATAGAGAAGGGAGGTCAAGAATATGAGATTCTATTTCACATGCATTTCCTTACAAAAACAGTTTATAAGTTTAGCATCTGCTCTCGCTCCAGCCCGCGAGTCAGCTGCAGACAGCTAGATTAACACAAGAGTAGCCACCTGTTAGTTTGTTTTTTTAACCACTCAAATGTAGGAACGTATCTAAACTCGCACCATAATCTGGATTTAAAAATGAAACAGATTTACTTCAAGCAAAAAGACATGAAAGAGCCATTCTTTTCAAAAAGAGTGGACAATATCCCAGACTGTGGATGTTCAGATGAAGCGATGTACGGACTGAAGGTTAGTCCAAAAAAAAAAACAATTCAAAGTATTTTTACATGATCTTGCGTTTGGTATGTGTAAAGAAAAATGGCAGGAAAACCATTCCGCTGTTGCCAAACAAATGTTGAATAAGCCGCACTGTGTGTCAAGTGACTCACCAACCCTCAACCTCGTCACTGCTGCTCAGTGCACCTGCAGCAACTTAATTTTGTGTTTTTAATATGAAACAATTATTATACATGTAATAAGCAACCCCAGACTAACTGTGCTCCTCGTGAGGACTGGTGCCTCCTCTGAACTTGCACTTTCAAAGACCTGTGGAATGTACAAGAGACCCAATTTGCACGATGTCCCAACAAGTGTGCAGAGCTGTTAAGCCAAAGGGTCAGCCACAGGGAGCAATGTGTGCAATGCGCCCTTTACTACTAAACATTGAATTTGGACTGAAAAATCAGTAAAAATGTATTAAAAGGTACACTGTGTCATTATTAGTGCCACCTAGCATTGAGATATTATATCTCTTTTGAGTTGAGGAGCAGTGTCTTTGACAGTGCTTTTCAACTCAGAACACGGCTAAAAGCTAATATTATTAGCATTAGCCACAGAGCCCTATCTGCATCACGGTAAGAAAACAGAACATTCACTCACGCTGCTGATAAAGTATTCTGGCGATTGTTTTGTGGGGATTCCGTGTTTTTTATTTGAGGCATGTCCCTGAATAAGTTTAGTTGAAACTTGTGATAGTAGTTGGACTGCGCTCGGATCGGGTCAGAGCATCCCGAGACTGTGTTGCAGATTCTGTCTCGTTCTCATTATTGTCAGTGTGAAAAAAAGTTACGTATTGTTCACGCTGTTGTGTACAAACTACACAATGTGCCTCCTGTTGTGTTAACGCTGTCTTTCGGTGCGTGAGGTTTGCGATGTTGACCCTCTGCTGCTATGACGTTGGACTTCTGCATAATTATTTTTCTAAAAGATTGTTGTTCGGATTGTTCTTTTATATAACTGTAGTCCTCCATGGCTCCTTCTTCAAACTTGTGAAGATAAGATAGGCTTTATTGATCTCACACAGGAGAAATGTACATAGAAAGAAGGCATGGTGAAAGACACAATATCCGTAGCTCATGCAAAATTAAAACGCGATTCTCGCATACTTTTTGTCTCTTATCCACCATTTTTCAAGATGACGCAGTGACACGGAGAGCACTCCGCTCTCATGGAAATGTATAAGTGAAATTCTAAGCCTATGAATACAATTCATAAAACATGGTGGAGGTAAATATGTTTAAAAAGGTCGCATTTGTTATTAGTTAACATGTTTTTTTCATATGGAGCAGCTTTAAAAATTACACAGGGTGGCTTTAAAAAAAATCTGTTGCATTTGTGGACTTTTCTGAGATGTTTTGTCACGCAACAATAACAGTTCCATAAGTTGCCTAAATAAGGCAAATAATGGGCCAGCTAATGTTTGATAATAGGCAAAATGTGGACATTCACTAAATGACTACAATATAGTCAACCATTAACATTCATTCTGTCTGAAACAAAAAATAATAATTTTCACCATTATGGTGCTTTCAGACCGGATCATGCGTTGGGTTGGGTTTCAATGCAAAGTCTATGGTGGCGCGCGTTCGACCGTCACAACGCACGGACCTCTCGGCACGCACAAACGGACTGTTCAATAATGACGCACGGACTTGGCGGGAAAGTGAAAAGGGAGGAGCAGGAGCGAAAAATCAACGCCCACAGGAGATGGATTCTGCTCATCCTTTCCTTGGGATGTTCGTGCGACAACCAATCAGAGAGCAGCAAAGTGGTCACGGGGACATTAGCGGACTGAGCGAGCAGACTGAAAATACTCGTAAACAGCCAAAACAGGACCCACATCAGACTTCACCAGAACTCAAACCAGGGTTGACAATGGGGGACTCTGTGCTTGTGAAAATCTGCATTGTCATGCTCCCGTGACTTTATGCAACGGCTTCGAGTGTGTTCACCGATGCGGAAATTCCGTTTAACTCATTGACTGCCAGCCCATTTCAGACAAGGTACTTCCATATTGCCAGCCGTTTCTGATGGTTTTTACTGATTTTTAAAGACCCACAGAATATTGTGTACTATGACTATCTGAAATCCGACACCAGATTCTAAAAGAATGGACTGCCTACTTTCCTCAGCAAAAATAATTTTGTTTATAGCTTTTTTCGTTCCCCTGTAATCCTCCGTCGAGTAGAGGGAAGTTTTACTGAAATCCCCAGAAAGTTGAGAAAAAAGAGGCACAACATGTGCACCTAACTGTTTTCAAACAATTCAGAGAGCAATGCTGCCACCTGCTGGCTCGATAAAATATGGTCTCAAGTCATCCCCATACATATTAGATACAATAGACATCTGGGAACGTGAAAATAGCGAAAAAGGCAATTGACGTAGCACACAATGAGTTAATAATATGAAAAAACACATATTACGGCGGCACGGTGGCTGAGTGGATAGCACTCTCGCCTCTCAGCAAGAAGGTCCTGGGTTCGAATCCCGGTCGGACCAGGGCCTTTCTGAGTGGAGTTTGCATGTTCTCCCCGTGTCTGCGTAGGTTTCCTCCGGGTACTCCGGTTTCCCCTACCACTAAAAATATGTACAATAGTTCTGGCATGCGCCTCCTGTACTGGCGACCCCTCTCCCATCTCTGTGTGGAGTGAGAGACAAATGCCCAAAATAAAATAATAACAATTGTAAACCGCTTTGAGACTCAGATCTGCAGTGAAAAGGCGGTATATAAATAAAGATTACTTACTAAATAAAGATTACTAATTACCGTTGTATAAAGCCCATGGAATGTATGCGAGCAAAGAAACGCTGCAAAGCTGCATATTGGAGAAGATCTGTACACAAGAAGCCGCTAGCATAGCTCTGTTAGCATTAGAGCCGGCCGGCTACTTCCGGTACTTCCGGCTCGCGTCAGGACGTTCTGGTGTGAAGTCCTCTGCGTCTGAAAACTAGAGAATGCGCGTCTGGTGAGCGGGGCTTCCGCGTTTCAGTATTGGCGGTCTGAAAGCCCCATTAGCCTTCTCATTACTCCACTCTTCCTCAGCATTTCTCTTGATTGTCCATGACATGAGAGCGCTAATTAAAATTTTGAGTCATCATTGGTATTCAAAATGAACCATCACCTAATTTAAGAAGTGCAGAATTGAGAGTGAGGACAGCTTTCTTGGTTATAGATATTCACTTTCCCTTTTTCTCCGTCTCTCTGTCGACTAAATATGATATTAAACAGCCCAGCAAATGAAATCATTTAAAGCCGTTTGAAAAGAGGATGTCTGTTATCTGATGCGTACCAATTACATGGACTTTGGAAGGGTGAGGTGCATCGCATTAGGAAAAATCTCATACCAAAAAAAAAGCAGTGGGTGAGGAGATAAATGTGAAGCAGCATGTAAAAACAGGTCTTAATATCCGTCAGCATCTAGCATGACGACCACTGCACTATAATCACATTTAACAGGTCAAGGAGCTGATTGGGATCCCCAAGTTCTTGCCCAGAGCCTAATCTTTGTTGTCATTTCATCCGAGCAATCCAGTATTGCCAAATAGATTAGAGGGAGTCCAGGGGCAAGATGCCAGCCCCCGTAATAGCTTATCACCTGAGATCTTATTCCTAAAGTGCCTTTAGGTCCAAAACATACACAGACATAGACACACATGCACCACAGCATGTATGCTGCTGAGAAGAGTCAAATTAGACTACATTTGTATCAAGAATAGTCTACACTCTTATTCTTCTTAACGCAAACCTTAGTACATGTGTCATGTAGGCCAGGTTTTGGTTGTCAGTTTTTTGATTAGCAAGATCAATCAATAAATAAATTATGGCCAAATTATTACAAACTTTTCAGTAAACGTCGGAAAAGAGAATGGGAAATTTGTATGTGATGAAGATCGGTGTGATCTTGGATTTTTTTAAAGAATGGAACTGTGCCTCTTGTAAGGTTTGCAATTTACAAGGGCTTTTCGATAAGATGACATTGATGACTCAATGTTTAAATGACAGCAAACTGGTTTGATAAACATAATACAAACACAAAAATAGTATACCCACATAATCACTTTACTCTTGAAATTGAAAGAAATTCAATTCCAGGCATTTTATTTTTTACATAAAGAAAAAAACATTTTTAAAAGACATAATTTTTTTATGGATAGTTCTTCAAATATTTTAAGTAAAGTACCTATAATATTTATGGAAATAAGTTTAAAGTAATTGATTTACAAAGGTTACATAAATGAATATATAAATGTCAAGCCATGATGTGAAATCCTGCCAACTGTTACACTATTCAACCATGACATGTCCTAACATCTCCAAAACAAGTCCTATACCTCACCCAGTCTTGAAAAATCTGACCTGTTGCTCTCCTCGAATTGGATTTGGCGTGTTGGAAGTCAAAACGTGACTCCAAAACTGACCCTTACCTGCACACTTTTTACAGATGACTATGCCCAGGTTGACCGAGGCCCACTCTGGCTGCGGGGCCCGGCAGTCTGCGCAGCTCCTGTTGGCCTTGTTGAACCAGATCTTCTCGGCCACTTCGTAGTCTGACAGCGTCTCGGTGATCGATTCCTGGACCGCTTCAATCCAGTCCTCCTTCTCTCGCTCCGACTCGGCTGTGAAGCTACAACAATTGATTTTTAGCACACACCAGTCAGCAACGACAAAATGCCTCACTGTTATTGATTCGATTTGAGAGAGCAATTAAACCGCATTTGGCAGCGTTATGAAGGGGTACACAATTTTTTTTGGGAGGTGTGACTGCTGTAAGCGTGAAGAATATGATAGAGGGGTTGGGTCCTCAGTGGAGGGCCAGGTAAATCAATCGCTCTACTTTCCACTTGTAGTAGCAAAATCTATACTGTGCTAATATGAGCTACTTTCAGGGGATATTATTTTCTCCTCCAAAAAAAATCTCAATATAAACGTGATAACATGAACAACACTTCACTTCAAGTACAATCTGATCAACATGGTCAAATGTGTTCTTCACAGACAAATATACACTCATGGAAGCGGTTTCCTTTGCAAGTTTTTCCATTTGCCAGAAGTAACAACCAATTTGCCAATCGTGCATTATTCTTGCCATAGCTTCACTTGATTTATTTCTACAGCATTTTCAACCATTCCAAGTATAATTTGTATTAAGCACACACTGTCATTCAACAGCATCCCCTTAGAAAGAGTGAAATAATCTGAAACATAGACATGCGGTGTGTCCATTACAAACTAATGAGCGCTAGAGACACCTTCCAGAGGCAGACAGCTCAAGTTGCTGATGCAGACATAGTGTTTTAAGTACACCGAGTGCTTTATATGCTGCACTTGTCTAAAATTAGCAAACTAGGTGAATTTAACAAGCTATTTAGAAGGAGTGTGAGGACAAGCAAGACAGGCCCATCGACAGCGTTATAAAATTAGGGGTTAAAAAATAGACAGGCACTTAGCTAGAAGTAATGGGACCACCAGTCTCCATGGCAACCTGAAGAGCAGAGTAAAGTAAGCCACAAAGAAGGGAAGGTGGGCAGCGAGGGAGGGGATTCGCCTGGAGCTGAGGATGTGCAGGGCGTCCCATCCAACCCAGATCAATAGGTTGATTGGGTTCAACAGTTGTGTGCCTGTGTCTAAAGAGATGACTGTTACTCTACATTTGCATGGTCCCAAAAGCACAGAGGGACGTGCATGGGGCATTTAGCAGATGTTTAAAGAAGAAATATAATGCATTGTATTCGGCCAATAAAAGACGTAATAATTTGTCATTTCACATTTTAGCGGTGAAATAATATCTAAAGGAGGAGGCATATGATGAAACAAGTGTGAAAGGTAAAAAATGCTTTCCATTTGTAACTCACTCTGTTACTACCAGAGGGAACCCAAATTATACCCAATTATAAAATTATCAGATGCAAACAAATCCATTTGTAAAAAAATCGGAGTGATGTCATAGTGGTACAATTGGGTTATACTATTACAGGATAAGGGCAGAGTTACAAGTTTTATCCAAAAGTGCCTAATATTGGCGTGTATGGATCCAAAAATTACTCTGGGTCTGTTTGTGACGAGGGAACAATGTAACAGTTAAAATCTATATGTAAAATGCTACTTTTCAAAAATAACTATTTGATGTTCTCAAACATTTTCCAAGTGAAGAATTGCTTTTCAAATGAAAGTGTATATTGGGGTGCTCAATACGTCGATCGCGATCTACCAGTCGATCGCAAAGGTAGTATTGGTAGATCGCATTACATAATTATTTTTTTTAAACTCCGTTTATGCATTTGCGTGTGGACAGAGATAAACGGAGTTTTGAGTTTTCCCACGCCACAGTTTGCCCCCAAAACAACAACAACAAACAAAACGTGCGACCTCTGATCACTGAAGAAGGATCATACTGCCTTAAAAACTGTTCTCTGCTGCAGCGGTTCACAGCAACGATCATCCTCGCTCCACATCAGAGAGCAGCAAAGTGATCACGCACGCTCGAAAACTAAAACAGGAGCTAAACCAGGATCAAACCAGGGCTGAGGTCAATGCTTGTGAACATATGTCTTCACCGTGGATCTATAATAATATGTCTTCACCCTGAGTTTCTACTACGACTGTAAGTCCTGCTACAAAAGCACCGGCATCTGCATCTAAGCTCCCGCCCACTTCTGTGTTTTTCCCCGACGCAGGACGTCAGAGACGCACATGTTTGGAATGTTATGACCGTCATTGAAGATGAGATGTTCGGTTATGTGTGGATGCAAATTATTTCATAAATCATGCGGTTTTGCATGTACATCAACATACATTGTAGATATTTTAAAAAAAACATTTTTAGAATCAAATACATGTTTTGCATTTTTGTAGAAGGTAGATCATTTTGACTTGATCATTTTGAGCACCGCTGGTATATAGCAATTGTAATCGTAATAATTCTATTTTAAATTGTATACAGAAGTGTATGCTGATTTTTGTATTATGCCTTACTCTATTCTCTATTCTTTACCTCTCTTTTCTGACTGCTGCACCGGGCACCAATAAAAATGATTCTGATTCTGATTCTAAAAACACAAAATAGTCTTTGGGTATGTAGTAAAGCTGGGAAAGAGTTAAGTTATGTCTTCTCGTGTGAAATGTGAGTGCAAGGGGAAATCATTATTTTCTGCTGTTGCATTAAAGCGACATTGCTGGTTTTCAAAAGAGTGACATGTGTTTAGAACCTAGACAAGACCTTGACTTTGGTTTTGTTATTAAAGAATTCCAATCGAAAAGTATAAAATATGTCTGAAAGTTTGAAAAGATAAACTGACAAAGAGTTTCTTTAGTATGCCCTTGAGTGGGGTGTTTATCTCCAGCTTTGATAGCAGGAGTGCGTTCTGATCTAAAGTGTAAACCTTTTCCTTCTCTAACTGCAGTATCTTGGTCAGCTCTACCTTTGACTTCCATCTTCTCATAAAGTAGGCTATTGTGTCAGCTGCAGTGGACTGAAAGCTCTGTCCATTTAATAGCAGCAAAACAATGGAAAAGCCAAAGTGAGTCTCCCAAGCTTAAAGTGATTAGATGAGTTTCTCAGTAATCCCCACCTTGAGCAGGTAGAGAAGGCTCCCAGAGACACCAATCGATTTGCCACACACACAGGCTTCCACAGCAATCGCCTCATCAAAACAATTCAGGGGACTCGAGCTCATTTTAATTCGTTCTCTTTTTTTGTTGCACACAAAATGGCAATTACGCCATCCGTATTAAAGTATCTGCCCAACGCCCTGGCCATTAAGGCAGCTGACACAAACAGATCGATGGAACATACAACAGACAGGAGGAGGAATGAGGGGAAAATCTTTACACCAAAAAGGAATGCACAAGAAAACAGCCAACAAGCAAAAACAAACAAAATTTGAGGCATTGTCAAGGCAGCTGTGATGCTTGTATTCTAAATGGGCCATTACAGCACAAACAAGCAGTGCACTCATCGATCCAGGGCCCACAGGGACCAATGTCACCTGAAAGGCTTTGTGTCCCACTGAGGCTCCTGTATCTGTGGGAACACCTGGGGAGCCTCAATAAGAGGCTTTAATTGATAGTTAGTGATTTCCAAGCAGCGACCTGTTCACATATGGGCTGCACAGATGGGGAGACTGGGTTACACACATAAGTAACAGCATGTCTGTTGAGTTTAAGAATGGTGTGGTACGACCAGGCTATGACATAGTACAAATGACATTTCGTACTAAGGTCTGGAGGTGCTCCATTGAGCTCCGTTTACAGGTGGGAGGGGTTAACTCCTTTTGTAGATTGAAACGATTGGATCTGAGTTTACCGTGACGTATGTAGTGCGCCCGAGTCTGTTGTTAGCATTTAGCCTAGCCATCTCCTTTGCCGCTAACGGAGCCCGTGGGGAGTAGCGCCACAATTTTTTCCAGCAATTACATTTGCTAAACATTACTCTTGCTCCGGCTTCAATTTCTTGATAGAACCAGACTGGATTACTTTACTATCGCGTCTTTCGCCATTACCAAATTACAACCTGCCTGTTCGACGCAAACTCTTGACATCACCCAGAACTAACTACAACACCTGCCTTCTGCGCTCTCTGAATGGTCGGTCGAAATTCAACCGATTGTAATCGCTAACATTGGGACCAGACCCAGACGTTACATGCAGTGAAATGATTGTTGAATGGAGTATACGGATGGCTAAGGCCAGGCTAAGAATGTCATTGTCTACAATAACTTCGCAACACCACAAAAAGGTCTCTATTATATAGTGTAATATACATACCAAAAGTTTTTGAAAGGTGTGTTGATCTCAAAGCTCCTACGATCCATATTTTTTATATGAGCCGCTGTAAGTTCCACTTCAGTGATGGCGAGGCCAGATTTAAAGTCCTAGACAATGAAAAACAATATATGAGTCCAACCAAAAGGAAATGAGACAAAGCTATAGTAAACAAATATCAGGTATAAATGTGTAGTGGGACTGCTTCTCCATCTCTTTACATAGAAACATCTTTCCATGGGTTGAAAGATATACTTTATATAGTTATTGCATACAGTAAAAATAAGTTTATGAGCAGCCGCTTCATCTAATCCCTTTTCAAAACCTGTACAAATACGTATATGTTTGTTGGATTCATGTTGTACATGTTCTGAAATGTCGATTGATGATTCACAACTTGGTGTCTCATCATATAATGGTTCTCAATATATCTGAGTAGTTTTGAATGTAAGATTGTCCTTATACATATGTAATAAATTCGTACAAGTCACAGTTCAGGCTGCTCTAGGCTCAGCTAAGTCCTCTTGTTCTAAAGTCAGCCAAGCTCAAATTAAAAGTCCTTAATAATAACACATTACATTTCCTATAACATATAATATCACAGTTTTCAACACATGAAAACACTTATCCTTCACACACAGTGCTTTTATAAACCCTATTACATTAATACATTACGACTTATTGCTTCTCTCACAAGCTTTGGAGCTTGCAGCTTTGACTATTTTCAACGCCTAAAGCTCAGGGAAAACTTACAGGAAGACAGACCAGAAGAGTGCAGAACACCCACACAGGAGCCGCACATAAAAACCAAGCACAAAATTGAGAACAGAGGAATATATTGTACTCTGACGTTGATAGAACAAGAAACTAGACAATGAATGACTAATTGGGTGGTCAAAAGCACAGCAAAAAAAAAGGGTTGGGGCATTGAACGGTATCTGCTGTAATGGGAAATGAGTCTGTCTTCTGAAGTCAAAATGTGCTTCTGAACAAGTTGCCAAAAAAGAAAAAAAGAAAAAGGATGTGGTCCAAAACTCTACAAATACAAATTACCAAACGCTGCCAGTTAAATGGTTCGTTTTGGTGCCAGCGCAGACCATGTGGGTTTCCAGACAATGAAAACAGTTCACGCTAATTACACAGAAAAACAAAAACAAACAAAAAAGTGAGGAGACGTGTAGAAGAGGCACTTTAAGGTGAAACACAATTGCGACTGAAGTATGTGCTCAGCGTCTGTCCAACAAATCTTAATTGAGAAACTAGCTTTAGGGTAGCCAAGTGTTGCTCAAATTAGAAACAAGAAAGTTTGTGAAATATATTACACTCCACAATACATGTATTGTTCAGACCAGACATGGCTACAAGATCATTTTCATCCGTAGTCCCTGGGTAACGGCAGGTTTACAGTGTGCAAAAAAATAACAAATAGCATTAGTTAGAATTGAAAACCTGTGAACTTTCTGCATAAGGTAAACGGTGACAGACAGTTTACAAGCAGAAATAAAGTGAATAAAAAGATTACTCTGCTCTAATCAATGTGCTGAAGACATCATGTACTATCATGTATTGTGGAATTCACAACGACCCAACCAACACTGGCTATCAAAAGTTACTGTGTGCGCGTGTGTGTGTGTGTGCGTGCATGCTAGAACAGGGAACTAGAAGATATATGAAGCTGCAAAGTAATAAAAACTAACAGCTGTATTCCTTTTTATTGTTTTTATTTTTTTTTTAAATACAGGCTCTAAATATAGGTGCAACAAGGTGGAAGCCCCCTCATTCACCGTGTTGCCAACAATGGATTTGGTTGATGACTGATGACTTGGTGCTGTCCAAAAAGAAAATAAGTTGTGTTTTTGTTGTAGTTTTAATAGGTCAATGTCCAGTTCTTCTTTCTCTGGACTTGTTTATGTTTGATGCTAGCATTATAGTATCTTAATGTTGTATTAATCTATATTTTTATATTCATGAAGCTGCCAGACTTGTACATTAAAATGTGTTACTTTTGTCTCTGTGCAGAACTTTGGAAACTGGAAAATTGGAAAGAAAAAGTTCTACAATATAAATAAAGTGGATCAGATTGCATGTAATTTATAGTCTTTAATAAAACATAATTTTTCTTTTTACTTTTTGGAAAACACCAGCCCCCAAAAAGGGGTTCTGAACAAGCCTCAACCAAAAAAATTAAGAATATTTTTCACAACCATGTGGTGGGTGGCCATTGTACATACAGATATATGATTAGCTGCAATATTGGCACTGCACATCTTTTTTTAAGTCATACTCAGCTCAATATAACCAGAGAAATACTCAGAAAGTAACTTAACTCATATCTAGGCACCTAAGTGACACATTCATTCCCTCTCTGCAATTTCTGTCTCCCCGTAGTCTGTGATGGGCTCTGCAAGCGGGAAATGTAGCAGCGCATACATCCACCAGCCCTGGATCTGTGCTCGTGTAGTGAAGGGCCAAAACCGTCACCTATACCTAATGACCCTCATCCCTCTCCGGCAGCCAATTACAGCACTGGGTGTTGGAGCCGACTAGCCTCCGCCACTTGTTACCTACCCAATATGAGCCGCTGCCTTCTGCCCCTTCCAATTAATTCAGTGAAGACGGTAGGAACGGCTACATGGAGAAGCACAGGCAAGAAAGCAAGTGGGCGAAAATAACTTGTCCAATTACAACAGACGGGGTCAACATTATGTTTATAGGAATGTTGGGGATTTGTTGTATGTTAATCAAAGTATATATTTTCCCAATTTCACAAAATGCCGACAAGTTATGCAAAAGTTGACTCATTAGAGCTTTATTTTATTTATTATATTATATTCGAAGATTAATTGTACTTGTGCTGATTTTGTTGATAATTTTAACGCTTAAGCAGTTACCTCACACAGGATTCAGAAATTATTTTCAGAAAAGTGAAATAAATCTGCAGGGAAACACCACCATCTCAGAACAGTGTTTTAATGTGATGATGATGCCTCCTATAAAACTATGAACAGCTTTTAGCTTGGATTCTTCTAAATGATGTTTGTGTACTTGGAAGGATCCACTTCTGCTGTTTAACTATTCCATCTACATCAGACAAGAGAGCACAGTCAGTCTGCTAAGTTTCTGATCAAATCTGTGGAGAGGAGTGTCGAACAGATGTAAACATGAAGATTTTTAGAATAATAAATGCAGACTTCTGGTAAAACCATATCATCTCTGTGGGAACAAGCAGGTAGCAGAAATGGTGCATCTTGAAAGAAAAAGTAGATATTAAAAGCTAAAACAGTTGATTGTTTGTGAATGTTATAAAGTTATAAGAGGGTTTGTAAAAATATCTGACATTAAGTGTACAAGACAGAAATTGCTCACCCAGATCTGAAAGCACTATGAGAATGTTAAGAGAAAATATGTTTGGCATGTACCCAATTAAACTGTCTTTAAAAGTTGTTATGTGAGCAGGCTGTCGCGCAGTGTTGCTCTGTGTGAATGCAGCTGCATCCACTGCAGCGGCACTAAAAGCTTGTGACAACCATCACATCAAGTTTGTATGATTCAGGAGTTGTTTGCTTGTTGAATAGCGTTACGACTCCTGTTCTACCCGTTTGTGGATTAGAATCTAGCATGGTCTTCACCTTTCTCTGCTGGTTCAAGTCCAAGGGCCATGAGATAGTTTGCTGGTGCTTAAACGTAGTAGCCATGAGACACAAAATGCAAGATTTGTTTTAATCTAATGGCTGAAAGTATTCCTTATCATTGCATTTCCTATGTTTGAACTGTTTGATACTCGGATCTGTGTAACTGCTCTTGTGATTTAGGGCTATACATTTGTTATTTTTTTATTTAATCGGAGTAAAATATCTTAATTAACATTTACAATTATAGGTAACGTCTTTATTCGATTGCGATTCAGAGGTTGCGATTATGAAACGATTATTGAAACCCGGGATTCACCTCGCCCTCTCCACACCTCCACAGCGCCATATAAGGACATGCAAAGTGCCTCATGAATGACATCTGCATAAACATGAGGCGATAATCAGTGGGTTTGACAGTTGAGCATGAGGGGAGAGGAGACTCACACAGCAGTCTGCAACCGTGAGAGGATTTGATACAAAATATGCTGAAGTCATCTAAAGTATACCAACAAAAATATTACTACAACTCATCTTGTATTATATATTAAATTTTACATGGGCTTAATCCTCACAAATGTCTCAAATAAACATTAAACATTTAAAAAATACAACAAGCTCAATCTTGTTCACTGCTCACCCCATATCAAGGCACAATGCTTTGAGCTCCTGCTAATATCCAGCAACTTCACAGTCATACTGTAGAAGAGGAGTGGCCAACATCTATTGAGCATTTATCCAATAGTATACATTATTTAGTTTGACCTAAGAGTAGGGCCGCGAAATCTATCAATTATCATCATTAAAATAAAAGCAAGCGCGATATATCACAATCATGTGCAATAACAGAGTTATTAATGTGTGAACATACTGCATCACTTTGCCAATGGCCAGAGCAAGCACAGTCTCACTTGGCGAGACGTGAAAAAGTTGTTCCATGACGATGTGTTACAGAAGCAGATGCAGGAAAGGGAAAAAAAACAGAGAATCAAACATTGGCTATGGAAACCCAAAATGATCCTTACAGGCTTTAGGTCTCACTCTTGAACACTTATGTGCAAGTGCAAAAAAAGTTATTTGAATGTTGAAAAAAATATGTCCTATTGTGATGAGTTTTCTGAATATATAATTTCTTTGGGGAAATGAAAATGTTGTAAAATAGATTATTGTACTCCTTGAAACCTAATCACATAACACTTTTTCCAATATAGTTAATACATACATAATATAGTTGAGTTTTTTAATTAACACAAATAAATAATAATTAATAAATATATGAATATAATAAACAACGATATACCATTTTGCTAATTCTACCCTCTTAATACTATACAATGTACAAATATTATGATTTAGAATTGCTCAAATGGGTAAAATAAAATAAAAAAATGCCAAAAACGTCCAAATCTGGCTGTCACCTATATTGAAGTTGCCTGACTAATTCATTCTGTAAGTGGCATGGAGTTTACTTCATGATTATGAACATAACTATAACAGAGGGCTCCATCTCAGCCTCGGTCACACGGGAAGTACTTAGGAGCTTTCGTTACCTTGTTGCATAAATTACCTTAAACACAGCTCCATCACTTAGCGTACAGCGTGTGGTGAGAAATGAGCCCGAGCAGCGGCGGCAGGAGGAGGAGACAGGAGGATCATGTCTCCAAAAGCTCGTTCATCTTGTTAGATTAAATACTTCACTTGAGTGAACTTCACCGGGCCACTGGTCTCTCCCTCGATATGTCACCACTCCAGCATGAAACTTAAGGAGCCGTTTTGTACAGTAAATTATAAAACTGGTCAATATAAAAAGTATATACAGTAGGTTTTAAAAATAGATAGACTAAAACAGTGGCTTTGACAGCAGAGCTAAAGAGGAAATACTACCATTTCCTCACAAAATCACTTGAGGTCAAATTTATATTAAATAATTGATTGAAGATATTACTACTTCAAGATTTTCTCAGATGTCATTTTCATTTATAACTTACCATTTACTGAACTATAATTGTAGCTAATTTTAATTTATCCCACGAGATTGATAATCCCGATTTAATAATTCAAATTCCTTCTATAATGCATTGTATGCTTTTCACTACAGTATGTTCACATGTCAGATTCATTTTCCCTGAGCTAATTTGAAACATACATTTTCCACATCTCTGTGGAAAATGCTTCACCGCCACAGCTACATTTATGTTGGGGATTTAACGTGCGCTGAAATAATACAATTAATTTGTTCACTCTCTGATTCCTAGTTTCTCCCGCAGTCTCAGATCAAGGAAGTGGAAATGTGCTGACATGAAGTGATCCCCAAAAGAGAATTCTAACAAAGATGTTTGTTCACACTAATGAAGAAAATAATGAAAGACAAACAACAAAACTACATGAGCGAAATGAGTGCAGAGGACGGATGAGCTGGTGATCAAATATACTCGTGTGAGGCCTCTAAAGGCTCAGAGGTATCCTTCCATTACACACTAACGGGACAGAGATGTGAGGCTTGATTAGATCGGCAGCAAATTAAAAGAGTTCAGAAAGAACAGGAACAAGAACAGAACAGGGAAAACATATCTTTCCTATCACCAAGCACCTCATATGAATGAATGGGATTTAAGATTATATTGGCTTGTTATACGTGTCAAGAATGTATTATCATCATCATTATTTATATAGAAACATAATAATTACCAAGTAAAGTGTACTGGGTGCAGCTCTGACGATATTTAGCAGTATTGTGTAAATACTGCTAAATACTGCTCCTACTGTAGGCTGAAAATTAACTGAAATCATAGATTGCTTTAACCATGATGCTCTAGTGGCAATGGTTGTGTCAAGAAGGACCGTAATAGGATGTGTTATTTCTTGTCATGTTGTTTAGGATTTGTGACAAATCTTCCTGGGGTCACTTCAATATACAGTAAGAACAACTGATGCATAATAACAATGCAATTACTACAATAATGAAGGTTAAAAAACCTGACAGTTCATTAAACTATTTCAAGAGTGGTTTATATATTTTAAGATGAAAATGTTTTAGTATGTGCTGCTTTCAGATACAATTAGCACAGAGAGAAATGTTTCTCAAACTAAAAGTCTTTTTCAGCAAATTAGTCCGATAGACACCTCACATTTTCAAATCTACTTGATCTAAAACATAATTGTTTGCATTTGTTGTGCCAAGCAAACAATTTTGATTTACAAATTGTAAAAACACAAAATATACAAACTCTTCAGCTCATTTGCCCCATTCCTCGATACTTTTAAAGTCAACAAGAATGCCAACAACCAGACCACCAAGACTGAAAGAACTGTTTGATTCTATCTCCTCTGAGACGATTGCTGTTGTGACTTAGGGTTATGCAAAAATAAATTGAATGGGCAGCCCAACAAAGCAATACTCTTAGTATCACAGTAAAGTTGCTATGACATGCCCTACAGCTCAGACACTTATGAACACAGCCATATATCTGGCCCAACTACACGATTATCATCTTCCTCCTCAAACAGGAAGCTGTCATCCTGCTGAGAGGAAGTCCCACCGGTGAAACGTACCTGTTCTGTTTTGCAGAGCCTGACTTTGCTCCCTGCCAGGGACACCAGCACTCTGCCTTTGTAGCCGCGCAGCTCCAGAGCACCAAGCCGGTTTATGCTGGGGGGGCGCAGGCAGCCGGACCGCGGGTGGGAGCCGCAGGCGGGGGGGCGTGTGGCTGTCTGAAGAGTTTCCATCCACTCCTGGCGCTCCCCTGCGAATGCACGAGTGAAAGTGAGAAACAGGCAGAGATAGTGCGAGTAGATAGAAGTGTGTGAACGAGAGCTGCACTGGAATCTTTGAAATCCAAACTTAATTCATTACTTTTGCATCGCTTCTGTAGACACTGCAGGTCCAATGGCTTCTGTGCATCTGGTGCATACTGATACCCACATTTCAAATGGAGAAGTAATTGACAAACAGAGCACACGATTGGCAAAGTCTGCCTGTGGTAAAAGAATATCCTGTAAAGCTGAGGAAAGATATAGATAGCTGCTTCTGAATTTAGCAAGCCTCAAGCAAGATGTGACAGGGATACATTAAGTGAGAGACCAAATAATAAAGACATGCAATTGGACAAAAAGGTTTGACATTTTTGTAGATTAAATTATGAAGAACCATGGGAGTTAAAGTATGTCATCTTGTAATGCTGATAATATATATGGCGTTTTTTTATCAAATTGACTGTACTCCAAAATTTGCACCCAAAAGTGACTAAAATCAGGGTTGAGGTGATTTTATAAGATCACGGCCTCACAACCTCTGGTGACCGGAGGGCCTGCATAAGCACAGTTGTTAGATATCTGGAACACCCACATAATGTGGCGTGAGCAATGACATGAATCAGAGAAATGTAACAAAACAAATACTCAACTTTGTGGTTTGTAGAGGAAGGTCTTTATGTACATAAGATGGACGGGAGTTCAAATTGAAGCGGCACATGCAGTCCGTTCAATCTGAGACTCTCACAAATATTTACAAATGCTGCTTATATAGCTTTGGTCGGCCGGGAGGAGTTAAGAAATGTTCTCCGTAATTTCCTTTTTTGGATACACAGTTCAGCTTGCATTGACTTGTCCAGTTGGATGATGTATGTTGTCTGTCTTTCACGGTCTGTCTCCATGCTTCTGTGTCAGCATTGCGATCCGATATTTTTGTGAATACCTCTGTGTCTGTATTTAGTTCCCTGACCCAACAGTGAACCAACATGTACACAAAAAACATAATTACAGTGACAAATATTATTTTTCCAACAGGACTTTGCATTCAAATGCTGTACACTTAAAGAGGCTTCTAAGAAAGCTCCCCACACCCTACAACTTTAAAAAACGAACATGAAAGGACACAAGGCCGCTGTTGTAAAGCCCATTCCCCATCGCCCGAGACACAGAGCTATCAAAGCCAGACAAGTGGAAACAGCAGAAATACCAAAGGATTGTAAACACACCACGCACCACCAAGATCACAGCAGTGCCCGGTGTGGAAAAGCTCCCTACCAAATCGAAAATGAAAAATAAAAATCATCCGTGAATCAGATAAGATGAAGGGCAACAGAAAACAGACTGTCAACTCTGAGAAAAAAAATAGAAAAGTGATTGGCAGGAGTAGATAAAACAACAAGCTACACACCTATTGAGGAAATGTAAACAACTTTGTTTTGTTTTTTTTTTATGCTTAATTTATGTATTCTTTGCCCTTTCCTTCAGCCATTTGTAATTTGAAAGCATGCCACCACAAACTAACCAACAATGAAATCATTATTGTTATTGGTATGTTATTTTATTCTGTACAAGTAGAAGTGTTTGTGGCAGGTAAACAAATTAAACTATCAAAATTGTGACCAAGAAGCCAAATTGCTTTTGCATTAAATCTTCAAACAATCTGCTATAAATTATTTTATTTTTTTTACAAACAACTCAAATTATATCCCCTCAATAAAGAGAGTTTATCTCAATGGGGCTATCCTTAAATAAATAAATAAAACATATCCGTTTCCAGTAACAAGTCCAGATATGAAACAAGACAAGACTAGATTTTAGTACAATTTTCTTTACAGGTGATGACAGGTGAAGACCTGTATCTTGTGTCCTTTGAATGTCCTCCATAGTAAGAAGACCTTGTAAAACATTTTTAGCAACTTGACCCTAGATGTTCTTAACCTGACCTTATATAACCTAAAACCTTAAGCCTCTGTGCACGTTCCTTAAAGCTCATTTCTCCTTGACCTAAAAAAACAATACCAATACATTTTATAGTCTTTTTTTGGCAGAATACACCCTTTAAATCCCTGAAAAAGACCATATTTGCTCGTCCGGACGCAAACTCCAGCCGTGGACAGACTAGCCCTCATGCTCTTCTGAATTCACAAAGACCAGGCATCAATAATTAAGGAGTTCCTCAATTATTAAGGGCTCTTTACATCACTGCACCTTTCTGTTACCTGTCCAGCACCCTCTTATTTTTCTGCTGATTTATTCTGGGCATTCCTTTCTACTGCTATCACTGCTCTTCCTCTACACTCTGTGCAAAATAAATCAACAAAACAGGAATAGCCGATGGAAAGATCGAGAGTAACTTTAAAGGTTGCTTGGATCTTGACAGCAAGAAAAAAGGTATATTAAATATCCTGTTATAGTAGTAAGTGATCTTTATTTATATACCGTCTTTCACAAACCAGAGTCACAAAGCGGTTTACAGTTGTGGGCATTTGTCCTCTCACTCCACACAGAGATGGGAGTGAGGTGGCCAGTACAGGAGGCGCATGCCAGATCTGTACATGTTTTTAGTGGTAGGAGAAACCAGAGCACCCGGAGGAAACCTACGCAGACACGGGGAGAATATCTCAGAAACTCCACTCAGAAAGGCCCTGCTCCGACCGGGATTCAAACCCAGGACCTCTTAAAGAAGCTCTTTATATAGGAGCGAGTGCTATCCACTCTCGCTCCTCATATAAAAATAGACAAAACCAGAGCCAAGCAGGGACAACAATTTTACCTGGTACCCGTTTAAAAAAACACTCGGGGTAGAGCACACCCGAGAAGAGTGGGGGCCGGTGGAAACCAGGCTAGACAGTTAATTTATCTTGTATTAATCCCCTATATAATATTTAAACTCTGTTAGATTGTTTTTAGTATTTAGTAGTTTTAGTATCTGTGTTCATGAATAGCTTTTTTTTTTTTTTTTTGCACACACACTAAAGACACACAGAAAAATAACCTGCCATTCTCAAACTATTTTTCAACCGGTAGCGAGCATGCAAACAGACCAACACCTCCACAAGCTCATAAAAACGGATATAGCGGCCGGTGAAAAACAGCCGAATAAAGCCTTATCCCTTGTTAGTAGATATAGCATGTGAAAGACTGTTCCACTCAACATGGAGAGAGACAGGAAGAGAGGCGGCTAATCCTCAATGAAAAGTAGAGGAGATGAGAGCTAGGTCCACTCAGCGCTCCACCGAGATCTTAGAGGTCGCCCACACAGACTCCATCAACGGGTATAAAAAAAGACTAAAGACAGAACACACGCCATGGGACTCCAACCGTTTACTTTTTGTTCTGCTTTATAAATGGCATTCTATTATGCAACACAGGTATTTTAATATGCTTATAGTATGGTTATTTTAAAGTAATTTCACAAATATATTTATGGGGAATTTTTGATCAGGCGGAATTTTTTTATTTTTTTTTATTCATATTTATCACACAAAAAAGGAGAAGCAATCACTGTAGCTAGATATTTAAAGCAAACAATGTGAAAAGGTGAATGAAGAGATGATGTTCTTTCCTTAGTTCTTAGTGAGCTGAAGAGGAAGAGCAAGGTTAGCTCTTCAGCCCAGTGATTGCAGTCTATTTACATGCACATGTCAATAATTGAGATTGAGAAAAGGTGAAATAGCAAATTCTTTAAAATTTTGCACAATATAATTGAAAAGTTAGATTTCGTATTTTATAATATTGTATTTTGAAGAGAAAAATGTCCAATATAATGAAATTAAGGTCACGATAACTTATGGGTTTTGTTGCAGGGTCCACATATTCTTCTCAGAGCTTCCATGGTTTGTTGTGCAAATCAAGTAAACAAAAACGTTCCAAGAGTTTCCATCTTAAATCATGCATGTGATATCAGCATCTGTACAAATTAAACTGTGTCTTCAGTGCCTTTGATTAAAATGGATGCAAAAAATCATAACCCTCCAAACGGGCTGAGCTTTCGCTCAGCCATTTTACAGACACAAATATCATTAGCCAAACCTGCCAAGACAAGAAATATACCTTTAAATTAGATGCCAGCTCCTAATAAAAGTAGAAGAATTATGTATAGTATGTCTCAATTTGTGTTGTGCATGCTTTCATCCAACATCAGATCAACAAAGGCCCAAAATTCAAGTCAAAGAAATCTTAACTTTCTTTCCTTACTTCCTTCCTTCCTCCGTCTATGACATTACCTGAGGGGAGAGGCCACCTGCGGACCTGGCAGATACGGAGCCGACAGCTGTGTGAACACGCTCTCCGGTGGCCTTCAATTATTCACTGGACCCCTCCCGCACCTTCCTTCACGTTCTGCCCTTTTCATCCACCAATCCTCCCCCAAAACTCACACCCAGCATCCTTACCCCATGCTCACCTCACCTGTCAAGGCCTTACATTTCATCAAAACTCAGCATATTTAATCTTTTTCTTCATCAGTCCATTATTTTCCCATCCCCAACTTCTCCTCACTGCAGTCTCTCATCCTCCGTCTGTCTGTGTCTTTTTTTTTCCTGTGTTCCCCCTAAGATTGATGACTCCCCGCGCCGAGGCGAGTGGGCCTGTTTAAAGATGCATGAGGTGATGAGGCCAACTTTTCTGCTCCGTCTCTCCGTCTCGCGGTCCGAACAGATCCTCTGACGGCAAAGCCACCTCAGTGACAGGTTTGCAGCAGATTCCAGAAGCAGACGTTAAGCCCACACAGCACACGAGACGATACAGCGAGTGATGATGCCAGAGATGACCCGTCACTTCTAGGCAGACCGCAGAAGGTTGTCAGTCGCCAAAGTGACTCACTGAAACCAGGCGAGGGGAAGATTGCTGCTATACAGAGATAAAAGCCAGTAATTTGCTCTAGTTTTTATTTTACTTTAAAAGGAGGAATTTGACTCAATTGCCCCTGATTACAACATTGTTCCTGCATCAAAACAAGGAGCCGTTTTTAGATCCAACCACACTAATATCA